TGATATTGCTGGAAACTTTCCCTTTGTGAAGTGGCATTACACAGAACTTGCAAATGTAGACATACTCCTTTTTTTGTGAACTGTGCAAACATGGCATTGCCTAGAAGTATTCTTCCCGTTGGAATGTTCACTCTTCACAATTTTCACAAGGGTATTTTTCCGCATATCACTCAAGAGTCACCCTGGGGGGTCCACATGAGGCCTTCGTGGGGTGGGAGTTGATGGGCCCGGTCGTGTACTAAGTCTTTGTGTGACCCTAGTTCTGCCGCCACCATCTGGACTGTAGCCCAGGCCTTTGCCACATTCATCAGAAATGCTTTGTATTTCAATTTTGAATCAGGGTTTAGATTTTTTTTTAGATTTTTTGCTGTCCCCGCAATGTTAATACGAGCAATGTTATTACCCACATTATCGTCGGAGCTACTATCACTTTAACTGTCTGTGGCCCCAATTCTTTGTTGTCCCCCATCACTGTCGCTGTCTGAATGACAATCCATTACTACGCGTCTCACAAGGCAGGTCAGCTAGGTCATCGGAGGAGAATTTTTCCTTGATCCATTCTCCCCACTAGCTACTGGCTGATATACACAGCTTGAAGAAGGCAAAGCATTTTCCTTTATGGTCAGTTAAGTAAACAGCGAGGTCAAGTTACTGACTGCTAACTAAACATTCCAGAGTCTTTATCACGCATCTGCATGTGGTTGCGTGCAATGTAGGTGGCGCCAGAGCGATGTATAGTGTGTTGCAACTTATCGTGTTCTAAAAGCCTGTTAACATGCGAATAGTCTGCCATGTTTAAAAGCGAAAAACCTTTTAAAGGGTGCGCGGTCTGCAAAGTGTTAAGCAAGGAGTTAGTTGTGAGATGGAAATCAGTCGGCAATGTCGTGAGCATAAGAGGAGGTTAATCTCCATTGTTGGGAACCATAACCAAGTGACAATTAAGACTATTACCAACCAATGACCAACAAAGACTATAACATAATGAAACAGTGTGGGCTAGTGTGATTTGTTAAGTGTGTAGATTGGCGGTAGTGTTATAACAAGTTGCAAGGGCCCAATAAATCCAATTATCAATCAAAAGCCTGTGTCTAGTCACTAACCAGTGACAATACAAAAGCTTATGTAACAAACGACATGACTTCTCAACGGATGTCACTAATTAAGCACTACGCCATGAAGGTGTATGGGGTAGCTGATGTTTTCTTGATCTTGGCACTAGTTAGTTAGTTATTGGAGAGGGTGGGTTTCCCCATGCACTTAGACCAGTATTGGTCCATTGTGCTTCCCTCTATGATATTCTACCAGTCTCTATACCCTACCGATATTGGTGCGTACCATCAGTCCCGACCAAGCCAGCGAGTTCGGCCTCTACTGGCTTAGCGGTATCTATAATGCTTCCCCCCTCTATCAGAGGCGTTAGAGACTACTGTTGGGCGGGAAATGTCCTTGAATTTGGCTCAGTGACCTCCTTTGGAGATATGAGGTTCTTTTACGTGCCATAAAGCTATGACATGGGACCCACGGCTTAAAGTCCCTCCCGGAGGACTTGTTCCCTGAATTTTTCCGCCCTTAAAAATTCCACGACCTCCGCCGGGTTTGAACCCACGTACCATGAGTCATGAGGTGGGAATGTTACCTCTAGACTACGGAGGCCGCTGACCTTGGCACTAACTAGGCGGTGAGTGGTCAGCTTCACATCCTGGCCACTTTACCCTGAGGAAAGAGTCGTCAGTACCCATTCAATATGAGGCAGGATGGACCCCAGAGTCAGTCTGGATGATATGGAGAAGTGAAAATTCTTGACCCTGTCAAGACCCAAACTCCAACCCCTCAGTTGCTATACCAACTACACTATCGGATGTTAGTGGAAAATAGAAAAATAAAATTAAATTAAATTAAAATTAGTTAACATAATTAGCTCCTTCACATACCATTTCAGTAACGATCATATCCACACAGTTCCTGCCCGTCAATGGCAAGGTACACCTGTTTACAATCTTATAAGAGCCGTCGCCAGCCGTGTGGATCATTGTGACTATAACTTTTGTGCCTGGAGCTGCTACCAAGTCCATGGCTCCACCCATCCCTTTTACAAGTTTACCCTAGACATACCATACAGAAACATCAATCAATCCATGTGTCCACTGTTTACATCTCACATACATACACTTAGAGCTATACTAATTTTAATGACTGAAAATGTGAGCTCTGAGGTTTTCATGGTGGTTATTGTGAATAACAACTGTGTTCTGCGATGTAATATCATTTAGTCAGTTAGAAGTTTTCCTGACATTTTTGGAAGAACATATTGCCTCCATCTTGAGGACTGAAGCTGAGCAAGCAACCAGTAAGTAGTCTGCTTGATTTTCCTCAGTCCCTCTAGGCAACTAACAGGATTTTCTCGTCTTCTCCAATTTATTATTCAGTGACCTTACTACTTGATGCTGTATAGTCCAAGCTACTGACAGAATCAATACTTTCAGTGTTTCAAGTGAATTCCAAGTATACAAAATGTTCCATTCTTAACATTTCAAAACAATATGTGACTTTCATGAAAATACAACTCACATCTAAGAGATATGAAAATCCTTTTATAATAATGGTTTTAATACTCATGTTACCAACTTACAGGAATCATCCAGTTGGCCAGGTCACCATACTGCGAAACCTGCATACCTCCAAGCACAGTTATGTCTATATGGCCACTTAAAAAAAAAAGAAAAAGAAAAAAAGAAACAAAATTCAGTGAAGGGAAACACAAATAATTTGTAACAATGACAGAAAAATTAACAGCACTCAGTGTTTTAACCTTAACCAACAGTGTGTTGTACTAATGTAAGAGTGCTTGCACATGGTCAAGGCAGTTGGTGTAATGGTGTGTGCACACAATCCTGAAGGCTGAGCAGTGCCTTTTTGCAAAAGTAATACTCTTCTGAGTTAAAATTCAACTGCAAGCGCCCTAATATTGAGAGATTTTAGAGCCCCTATTCTCAGCTAATAAATGTATAAAGGTAGTCCTCAATGCTACAAAACTGCTGGGGAAAATGCTTCGTTCTATTAGGAGAAAAGTCTAGGTGAAGAATACATGAATTTGTGTACTGCAGAGCTCCTGCGATCTGCAGACTTTGCCTACTAATGTGCCTTCCAAGTGACAGTTATTAAATCACTGCTGTTGGTTTTTGGCCAGCAACACAACAATAAAAATATAAATAAACCAATCAAATTGCTCACATTGATTTCACTTGACAGGTGCTACATGTTTTGATCTGCATATGGGACCATCCTCAGGCAGTCTCTTCAAATATGTCTCCTGTTATTGAACTGTTGTAATATGAATCCATATTACTGGCACTCATCACAATCAAATAACACATGCAACCACCACGAAGTTGCAATAATTTTTCTAATTTTAATATTTAAATTCAAAATTATTTAAAATTCTCTTGGTGAATGTAAAATTCTATGTTGTTTTGTGTTTTTATCCCACACTGTTGGTTCCCTTTCACCTGGGGTTCACTGTTTTACCATCTGGAAGTAAACTGCCATGTGTATTACTGTCTAAGTTTTGGGTTATTTGATATTTATATATCTCATGTTGATGGCCAAATACCACTGATCATGATACACAATAGGATGCAAACAGTGAACAGCACCTCATAAATCTAAGATCCATGGCCATTATCAAAACCTTCCACTTGACCCTATTCCGGTCTGCCATAGTACTGTTAACCCTTCAGCGCGGGCATTTAAATATCGCTGTTGTGGGGCCTACTGCAGTAGTATTTTTTAGTTGCCCATTTAAATTTTGCTCTAAATTATATTATGTATCATAACTTTTGAACTATATGAGATATAATTATGAATTTTTCACTGAAATCATCTTAAAAGATGGTTTTATAATCTTACCTTATAATATGAGCGCCCTGTATCTCAGCGGTGGAAGCAAGTGGGTTAGAAGTTGAGTTTCATATGGTATTTCTTTAAACATTCATCTAAACACAAGCCTGCCTCACATTCACTACACCAGTAAACAGATCCTTTCCTTTTACCATGTTTTGCGCACACCACACATCTTTTTTGAGGCTTTGCCTTTTCCCTTTGGCTGGAATACGCTCCAGGAAATGTTGTTCTGTGAGTCTTTTACGCGGCGGCTCAACTGACGGACGGTCGTATACAGGACAAAGAACACCAGAACCGTGAATTTCCACAATACCTTGTGCTAGTGAAAGTCTGAACTTTAGTGTGTCCGTGTTTTTGTTATTCAGGGGACACCGATATATGACCATTGTGTTATGTATTGCTACATTGAGTAGCCTCTTGAATAACTTCTGATACCACTTAGTACTCTTCTTTCGTTCAAGCAAGTACGGCTGTAGCATTTGATCCTTCAGATCGACTCCTAGCATGTTTCTGTTGTAATCACAAACAACCATGGGCTTTGTTTCTTGTTTATTTGTTTGCTTTATTCACAACCACATGCATATCACCTTTGTGGTATGTTGATATCATAGTCACTTGGCCATCATAACTGTGAGGTGAAGCATTCTGTTTACACTGACTGGCAGTGCTGCAGGATCTTGAATTTTATGGTTACACAAACAGAGAGCGTACTCTTTTCACAACAGCCCAGTGCAATCGTCATCATGTTGGCATTTTTCTTTCCATATTTATTGGCCTTCAAAATTAGGCTTACAGCTTGGTGTATGGTGTACAGCAAGCCGCAGGTAGGACCATTTAAATACCAGCGTACCGTGTATGGCAAACCACGCTGAAGGTTTAAAGTGGGAAATTTAGTTCACACGAGGTCAGACCATAGAAATGGTAATGATGTAATGATCATCTGTGTAAACTACGATAGAAACAGGAGGATAATATAAAAGTTTATTGTCCAGGAATATAGGAATTAAATCTTCCATTGTTATGGAAGTAGTGGCTAGATTTTAATTTGAGAATAACAGTTTTTATATTGAAAACAATGTGACACTAGGTCTCCTGGACCTGTGCATGTGTTGCCACACAGTGCGATGCAAGGATGGTAAAGGTTACAACGGAACATGAAGAAAGAGACCGTGGTGACACAAATTGTAAGAGATGAAGTATGATGGTAAGATTATAACAGTCTTCTGGAATGTGACACTCTACTCCAGCCTGCAAATGCAAGTAGCACATTCCTGCAAAACTGGTAATGATCTATCATACTAGATGGCACCACATCCCACAAGGCAGTAATCTGTATTGAAGTGGATCACGGTATTGTGTAGCAGGGCTTTCAAGATTGAACAAACAGAGAATTCCAAAGAAAAATACAGGGTGGGGCATATAAACCTTTCCGATTTCAAAAATTCGTGGAATAGAAATAAAGAAAAATGCAGGCAAAATTATTTTATTATTTGAAAGGACATAGAATGCAGTTTTATTTTAATGGGGTTTAAAATAATATCTTCCAAATGGCCACCTCCGTTTTCCATAAACTGACGGAGCCTGTTTCGGAAGTTTTCCATGACTCTACGAGTCATATTCCGTGGAATAGCGTTGATTTCTTCAGTGATGGCAGCCTTCAGTTCATTGATAGTTCAGGGACAATGTGTGTACACCTTTGCCTTGAGGCATGGAATTAGATCAGGCGATCTGGGGGGGGCCACCTGATGTCACCCCGCAAAGAGACAAGAAGACCAGAAAACATTTGTCTTAGAATCTCCATTGAACAACATGAGGTGTGGGCCATAGCACCATCTTGTTGGAATCAAATATCTTCCAGGTCATGATCTTGCAATAATTCATCCAATTTCGGTAGAAGAAAATTTTCAAGCATGTAACTTCACCATCTTCTTCGAAGAAGTAGGGACCCCAGACACCACAATCAGCCTGAAGATTTTCTTTTTAATGCAGAAGATGTCGCTCTAAAATTTGATGTCCAATTTCTAATTGTTGGTCCAGTGGGAATGGGATCACGCCGACTGAGTGAGTGCGAAAGGCTCACTGGGTTTTGATCACGGAACCACCGTTTTTAATAAACTCTTCCAGAAATTGTGTGTACTGAAAACTGCATGATATAATGAGTCTAACGATACCGTTCCCACCACTCTACCCCTTCCCTAGCCTCAGCAAGGACCCTGTGAAATTGGAAAGGTTAATATCCCCCACCCTGTATAAACATGAAATTCAACACTCATGAGGACAGATATCAAGAAAAGGGACAACAGGCTAGGAAACAGATCATGCAGAAGGAAGGAAGAACATGGGAAGTAAGAGGGGAGGAGCAGCTTTGGGAAAACATCAAAGGAAGAAGCAGAAGACAAAGAATATGCCACACTTGGCACTTTGTTATACCAACTTACCCTCTGATCATGGCGAAACTGTCATCACTACCAAAGTATGAGGCCCCTTGTATGACCGTGACAGTTTCCTTCCCTGCATTAATCAAATCAGGATCAACTTCGCTCTCAGATGGGTATGGTCCCAATCCCAAGATACCATTTTCACTCTGAAGATAAACTGTTATGTCCTTTGGGATGTAATTGCTGGCCAGAACAGGGATACCAATTCCTAAATTAGCTGTTTAAAATGTCAAGGATTGTATCAGGCTGAAAATGTAATTAATATAATCAAAAGATTCAACTGTGTCAGAAAATATCAGTCATACTGAAAGTTTTAAAGATTTTGTAATTTTGGGCAGGCTCCCCCCATCTTCTGCATTAGGCCACATCCTCATCCTATGTCAGCACTGTGCTAACCTACTAATATGGAAAGCTTGTACAGAAAATAAAATAAATACTCAAGGTTAACATAATTCTGAACCAAAATAATACAAAATAATTGGACAGTTTCCTGAATGTTTGTGGTAAATGGCAAAGTTGTCATTGTGCTTAATTAAACACATATGATGAATACAAATATTAGTAGTCTTATGAATAAGTTGGCTGGCCAAACCAATTAAAGAGATACCATAAAGATGGTTGGAGGAGTCGAGGTATAGCGCCATGCATTCTTAACCCCAGTACCAGATGGAGGTGAGAGGTCAGCTTCACAGCCAAAGAAGAACTGCCAGTACCCACTAGACACGAAGGTGGGTGGGTTCCAGAGCCAATCTGGATGCTGTGAGGGCAGAAAATCTCTTTCCTCGACTTGAAACCAAACCATGATTTCTGTCATCCAGCTCACAACCTAGTGACTATAAGGACTAAGATACTGTGGCATGTAGACCCATTGCTAAGTAATGACCCTATAAACAATGCCCACTCCTAGGCAATGACCATGGAATAAGCAAATATATGGTAGCCATTGCTGAGTAACAGCTTCACAAACAAACATGTTCTCATGGCAATGACTAAATAACAACAACAATGAGGAGCAGTGTTTTCTCTGCAGTCCGTGCTGAGGGTTTATAGGCCGGACAAGTCTAGAGTTTAGTCAGTTGTGGGATATCTGACAGCCAGTAAGAACATAAGCAGAGGGCACTGTCAGAAGCCGTTACCAGCAAACGACTAGTAAAGACATAGAAGACTTTATGTGTGCTGCAGGTATGGTGATCAAGTGTGTAAGCCAGTGAGGCTGTTATAGATACTTGTAGTTACGAGTTGTGTGTATAAGTGTTCATTAAATCCAATCACCAATCCAAACCCTGTCTACAGTGATACTCAAAACTGTGACAATATTCTAGGTCCTCCCGAATCCTTGTACACTGTCAAGCACTTCATACATTCAGTGCTAATGAACACTGCTTCTTACAAAGGATACCATACATTCCATCTGTGAATTCTGCTGCAACTCTTCGAGCTATCCGTTCCCTCATAAGTGCTGCTGGCACTGACGATGCCAGTGACTGCTTAGCTTGTTTTCGTACTGCCAGTCTCTAGAAAAAAAAGACATGCTTTATAGGCAGCAAACAAAAGGGACATAACCACATATCCATTTCTATCTTCTTACCTAACCAAAGATTATATTATTACTGGAAAAGAAAAACAATCTACAGCAAAAACACAAATAACGAAAGACATGAAGTTTCAGAACATTCTCAAAGGTAATTATGCAGCCTCCATCAACATTAAATGGTACCTTAAAGCTTGTATAGTTTCCTATCCTGTCACAAGATTGCTACCTTCTGTAATGTTATGCAGGAATTTATAAACCAAGGTTAAAAGCTCTATGACAATGCTCTGACTTGATGGTTGAAAATTATTATTTCAGAATCACTTCATTATCTGAGTTTATTTAAAGTACTATATTTTGGAAAGTTGTTCTATTTCCATTTTCAGGAGGACAGAAAACAAAAGTTCTCTGTTGGGCCTTTTGGTAGAGGTACCAAGTAACCATGGTCCATGGCTCAGGAGTAGCTCTCCTGAGGTTCCATGCAGTAAAGGTTTTCTTTTGCATCTTGTTCATGTGAAGATGGAAATATAGCAGAACACCGATTATCTGAATCCTGAAACTTCCAGTTAACTTAATCACCGCAACCAAGAAATGCGTCGGCTAGACAAACATCATTGCTGGAATTTTTTAAATAAAATGTCTAAAAATGTTAATTTATAATTACATTTATTAATTTGTTTGTTTTACCTGTTTCAAAAGTTCTTGTAGTTTTTATTATTATAATAGGGCAGGACATTATAACAGTGTTTTTTAATGGACAAGAATTTAATCAAATTATCATAATTTTTTATTATTTGAACAACCTTTGTCACTAATTAATTTGGAGGAGTGCTGGTCTACTGTATAAAAATTCTTTGAAATAAAGTGGTCTTAATAAACCTGGAAGCAGGATAAAGCTCAAAATAATAGTTTCACACAAAGTATTTTGTAGTTTCGGTGCAAATTCTCAGCATATTAATATTCTGCTCACTCATTTTCTCAAAAGAAAAAGAAAAAGAAAGCAAAGGTTGTTATTGGTCGTACAAATGCAGTTTCACTGTTTTCCTGTGTCTCACCTCTATTCTCTTCTCATACTTGTCACCCTTAACAATTCTGTCAACAAAAATTCCTGGAACATGAACTTCGTCCGGAGGGATTGATCCTGTAGGTACAATTTCTTCCACTTCTGCAATAGTTACCTTCGCTGCTTTGCACATTGGTGAATTAAAGTTTTGTGCAGATTTCCTGAAATTAAGAAGCATAAAAATGTATTATGGTCTCCTGCAACTTAATGCTATGTTAAGTTCATACTGAAACTTAACTTCAACTACAGTACAATGTAAGAGAAAGCCAAGCGGAAGAAAACAGATGTTTATACCATACCTGAAGATCAAATTGCCAGCTTCATCAGCTTTCCATGCTTTCACTAACGCGAAGTCCCCAGTGATGGCCCTCTCCATAATGTATGGCTTTCCATTAAAGTTTTCATATGAATGTTTCTCACTGACAATTTCCACCTTTAAAACATTAATAGCAAGACTGGTAATCAAATATTTCAGGGTGTGTGTGACATGTGGACCACCTATTACATGGTCCCTGAATGTGATAATGAAACTGTATGAACTGGCTTCATTTAATTTCGCCAAATATAATACTAACTAATAACTGAGGAGCTGGGGTTTGATTCCTGCTAGGAGCAAAAAATTTCTCTCCTTCATAATGTCCAGACTGGCTCTGGGGCACACCTGCCCTCTTATACAATCTGTACTGTGGTCTGTTTCCTTGGGGGTAAGGTGGCTGGGTCATCAAAATGACTACTCAGCTCCATCTACTGTTGATGTTAAAAAAGCTGGAGCTATACCTCCATTCCCCCATATATCTACATGGTGTGGTGCTTAATTAATTAAGCCCAGGAATAACTTCACCTGTTCAGTAACTGCATTCTAAAGGAGATTTTTCTTGAAGAATTTGTCAAATCCTCACTTCTTAGGAGCCCAAAGGTCCATCAGCATTGCTAGTGGACTCGTCTCGAGCCAGAAAAATCCAGCCCGAGTGTTCACATCCTATTTCCTTATGATCAGGCTGACAAAAAGAGGACTGCATACTCTACATATATGAGAGGAAACTGCAGTAACTGCATAAGAAAGCTTGCATGAATATTAGTGGCATCATGCTTTTCTATAATGGCGACTAAAAGAAATTTGAAATATTGGAATATTTTCATTTCATAGCTGGCAATACAGCTGAGGTCTGGTCATACTGTGGCTCAAGGTCAGATAGTATGACATTGTCCAAGGTCACATTGCAGTATACTGCAGTTCAGCTGTTGTCCAGTGAGCATGGCATAAAGATGGTTGTTCCACTAGAGGTTTCACTGGGAACTAGTCAGGTGTTTTAGTGGATATTTTGTGGTCTGAGGGGTTTGGGGGGGGGGGCAAAAATACACTGACAACAGGCTGACCAGTATGAACAGAAATGTTTGCCACAATGAAGTGTACACAGAAATAACAAAATGTTTAAAAGCAGCTGAACCAGTACTGCTGATTCTGATATGTCTGGACTCATGTATGTTTCACCGTAGCAAACAGCTCTGTCCATACTAGGTAGCCAAGAGTCAATGGATTTCCACCCATAATTTATTCTAGTCAAATAATTGAAAAAAGAGCTGAATGTTGTGAAAGATGTATTATGTTGGAAAACCAACTTCTCAGTACCCAGAAGGAACTGAAGACTGCGAAATTAATTATAGATTTACTTTTAGAGGACATCAAGAATCCAACTGAGGCTGATACCAACCCCACGCGAAATAATGAAGATGGATCTCAGTTATCTTTAAATGAAAGAAATTGGATCCAAAGTCCAATAAACTCACATAAGAAGATGTTAGTAAAGTTTAAAGACCAGAGTGAAATATATTTTAAAACAAATAATCGTTTTGAGGTCTTATCTAACCTCAATGATGTTGTTAAATCAACGAATGCAAGTGGAGCTGTTCGAAATATTGTGGATAATGGTACAAGTCAAATAAGTGTTAGTAAATACAAGCATAATGGAAATGCTCAAATGACAAATAACATTCCAGTAATAGTAAATGGTGTGGTAATATCTTATAATAATAAAGTGCAGATTGGTGACATGTTTTATTTAGGTGATAGTGTCAAAACTTGTGTAACTGACACAAACAACAGGCAAGAGATTTCAAAGAAGAAAGTTTCCGTTTCAGCAACAGTCACTTCAAAGAATAAAGGAAACCTTTCCCTGCTAACTACTGGAGAGAGTCACATGAGTGATTGTGCTAGGAACAGCAATCTACTTAAACAAAAAATACTTATAACTGGTGATAGTCATGTTAGAGGGTTGGCAGCTAACATTAACAGCAACCTCAATAATACTTTTTATGCAATGGGTAGCATTAAACCAAATGCCAATATCGAGGTGATACTTCTTCCTTACACACTTTTACAGAATATTTTTAAAAAAAAAGATGTAATTATATTTTTTGGTGGTACTAAAGACATAAGTAAGAATGAGTCAAAAAAAAGGACTTCTATCACTAAAGGCTTTTATTCAAAGAACTAACAACACAAATGTAATCTTGCTTAGAGCGCCATTAAGATATGATTTGTCTCCTGATTCTTGTGTTAATTTAGAAGTAAATCTCTTTAATAAGAGGTTACAATCCCTTGCACATAATTTTGCTCATGTAAGCCTTGTAAATGCATGTACTGAAAGATTCCATCATACTAAACATGGCCTGCATTTAAATAATCAAGAGAAAGACTGTATCTCTCTTCTTCTTGTGAAAGAGATTAATACCATGTTTGGTCTAAAAGCAATTTCCTCATCTATAGCCTTACCATGGGAAGATCACAAGATAAATTCATTTCAATGGGCTCAGGGTTATAAAGGCAAAGATTATGAAGATGACTGCAGTGTGATTAATAGTGTAACAAAAAATAAAGAATTAGAAAAAATTGAACATAATCTTATACCGACTCGTAAATCAAATAGAACAAAAAAGGCTATTTCGACAAGTCAAAATGATTTTTTATGGTCAAGTTAAATCAGGAATATACTAGGAGGACTGATTTGCATCATGTACAAGCTATAGATCATTCTATGAGAGGTCAAGTAATAGTAAATCATTCCTACAATGTATCTAAAAGCAACGTCAAGTTAAAAAATAATTTGAATCAGTTTATAAAAATTTATCATCAAAATATTTGTGGACTTCAATACAAAATTGACGAATTGGTAGCTTCTTTATATCCAGATATACCTCATGTCATGTGTATTTCTGAACACCATTTAAACCATATGCAAATTCAACTTATTACAATGGATGAATACAAAAGATGTACTGAATACTGTAGACAGTCCTTTCAAAAAGGAGGTGTATGTATATATATACTTAAGGAACTTTCATTTACTTCAATAAATTTAACTAAATTTTGTAAAGATAAAGACTTAGAAGCATGTGCTATTAAACTTAAACTGTCAACTACAAAAATTTGTATTCTTACTATTTATAGATCACCAGTTGGTAATGTTCAGTTTTTTCTAAATGGTCTTGAGGCTATTCTCAAAATGGTACACAAACCCAATATCCTCTTAATCATTTGTGGTGATTTTAATGTAAATTATCTTGAGGAATCCAAAGAAAAAAAAAAGAACTAAATGATCTACTAAACTCTTACAATCTTAATAGCATAATCCAATTTCCAACAAGAATAACCAAAAACTCAAGTACAACTATTGATAATGTTTTTCTCGATATCACCAAATTTACTCATTTTAGAATATCTCCTGTACCAAACGGCTTATCAGATCATGATGCCCAAATACTTGATATATATACAAATGAGAGAATTTTTAAATGTTCCAAAAAGAAAATTAAATACATTAGGAAATTTGATGTATTCACGATTCAGGAATTTCAAGATCAACTTAGTAAAGAATCCTGGAGTAACGTATTTCATAATTCCAATAGTGACATGAATAATATTTACAATTCTTTTCTGAATATATATCTACAAATTTTTGTCTCATGTTTTCCTAAGAAAAAGGTTTTTGAAAGACAATCGACAAATAAATGGATTACCAGTGGTATCATTAATTCATGTAAAAAGAAAAAGGATCTATATCTTTTAGTTAAATCCAACAATGATGTAAATTTAAAAACTTATTACTTAAGATACTGTAAAATCTTAGCTAATATAATAAAAGCAGCAAAGAAATTATACTTTAAAAATAAAATCACACATGCTCATAACAAAGTCAAAGCTACTTGGAATATTATAAAATCGAACATAGGAAGAAATATCAATGAGCAAGTTATAGATAACATGGATGAAAATAATAAAGAACTCTCTTCTAAAATCAATGCTGAAAAATTCAATGAATATTTTATAAAAATGACTGTTAATATCTCTGAAAAGATTAAAAATAAAAATAAGTTAAATACAAACAATACGAACTACTCTCCATACAACTTGGCTCAGGTTTATAATTTTAAGTACAATAATATCAATTTACATAACACTTCTACCAGTGAGATTTTAAAAATTATAAAGAACTTTGCTTGGAAAAATTCACAGGGTTTCGATGAAATTCCTTTGAAACTTTTAAAAATCAGTGCACCATTTATTGCTTCTCCTTTAAGCTATATAATAAATAAGTCTTTATCTACAGGGATTTTTCCTGACAGAATGAAATATTCAATTATTGTCCCACTACATAAAAAGGTGCTTTAAAGAATGTAGCAAATTTCAGACCAATCTCTTTATTACCTTCCTTTTCTAAAATCTTTGAAAAAGTTATCTACAAGAGACTACTTGTGCATTTTCAAGCCAATAATGTCCTTACTAACGATCAATTCGGATTCAGAAATAAATCATCAACTACCAATGCTATATTTATAAACTTACTAATATCATCTTGTCTACTTTAAATAATAAAAAGAAGTGTGGTGGCATACTTTTTGACGTAGAAAAAGCCTTTGATTGTGTGGACCATAGAATTTTGTTATCTAAATTAAAATATTATGGAATAAAAGGTAGGCTGCATTTATTGTTAGAATCATACCTTACTAATAGATATCAGAGAGTAAAATTTAATAATATATTCTCTAAATGGGGAAAAATTACCAAAGGTGTTCCACAGGGATCGATTCTGGGTCCACTTTTGTTTTTGGTCTACATTAATGACTTACCTTCTTTTATCAAGCGCTTTGGCCCTCATAATACCTCAATAATTTTATTCACTGATGATACAAGCGTATTAACAAATGATCTCAACTTCATGAATCTAGAAAACAAACTTTCAATTGTATTAAAATTAATGAATGAATGGTTTCATTCTAATATGCTTTCGCTGAATCTTGACAAAACTTGCTGTATGAAATTCTCTGCAAAACAGGGTTACCTCGATAATCTAAATATTACTTATGGTAATAATAATTTACGTGAACAAAATGATGTAAAATTTCTAGGACTGATGCTGGATAACCTATTAACATGGAAAAAACACATCGAATCAATTATAATGAAACTGAATTATATTATAATATATTATCAGAAGATCTAAACAATTTCTAAATATCGATACCCTCAAAATGATTTATTTTGCCTATTTTCATTCCATAATGTCTTATGGCTTGATTTTCTGGGGGAATTCATATCAGAGTATGCACCTTTTTAGACTTCAAAAAAGAGTTATTAGAATTATGGTTGGTGTAGGTTACAAAGATCCTTGTAGGAAGATATTTTCTTCGCTTAAAATATTACCTCTGCCCTCTCTATATATTTTTTCTGTTTTAATGTTTGTAGTAAACAATTGGGAAATGTTTACCAAAAATTCGGATGCATATTCGATTACGACTAGAAACATTTCTAATCTTTATCTTCCATCTGCTAAATTATCGATTTATCAGAAAGGTACTCAATTTATCGGAATTAAGATATTTAATAATCTCCCAATTAACATAAAACAGCTGCATGGCAATATAAATCTTTTTAAGAAGACATTACTCCAATTTCTATCTTCGCTCATTTTATAGCATTGATAAATTTTTTAAATATAAAAAATAATAATCTTCATACTGAATCCAATTGATAAATCCACCTATATAAATACTTCTGTTGTTTACCATAATTTTAAATATCTGTTAAAATTTATTACTCATTTATGCAGATATAAGCATGTAATAAGACCCCATTTGAATTTATTTGTTAGGTTGTTAATTTTGTGACACTTATGTATTAAGTATGACATGTATATTTTCATGTTTATCTGTAAGTATGCAATAAAAATTTCGTTCTTTAAATTTTAACTATACAAATATGGTGTGTATACAACTTAGACTTGTTTCTTATTTGTGTTCTTACATTTTGATAAATTAGCTTAATTCATATGATTTCATATTAGGGTATGATTTTGGAGTTTCTTGTGAAGTTCTTATTATGACCAGTATATGTTTTTATTTTCATTTTATTGTTTTTATTGACAAATGTGTTTTACATGTATTATATTTGTATTTTCTACTGTTGTATTTTGACAATCTGCTTGTTTGTAAAGCAATGATTTTTTATCTGACTGTTCCTATATCCGATGGTTGTTCTCACAACATTGTAAAGATCTTATGGAATATAAATAAACTAACTTACTAACTAACTTCATTGGCATCATGGTACAGTCATTCTCCTAATTAATTATAAATGTTGAATAACTAGGAATTAGTACAGGGCTAGGGACCTGAGTTCAGGTCTGGCTGTTTTAGCATTAAGCCAGATAGAGGTGGTCCCCTGAATAGTGGAATCCAGCCTCTATGTGCCTGGCAAAAATAGGACTTCCCATATTAAAAACCCAATGGGATACCAGTGTATACTTGTTGGTAAAACAGCATCATGGCCCAGGCAGCTGTGGGCAGTCAAGCTGTGATAGTTAAACAAGAAGGTTGTGGAAACACCAAGGTGGGTGTGGATCTTTCTGTTTTCAGGGTTTTATCCCGTTGGGTTCAACTTAGTGAACAAAATGACTAGTGACATCCATCCATCTGCTGAGATACATACAAATTTGGATCAGTATTGTAAATGATGGCACAAGGCGTGATATGAAGAAAATCCTAACAAAGTACAGTTGATATAACCTGAATGTGAAACTTTTTACTAGTTCATAGCTTCAGAAATAACCCTACGAGAATCATGCCCAAACCCTGTTCACTAAACCTTATCACCCAGGGAAACCCACATTTTTAGAGCTCTCACCTGTCACCTGGTAACAACTCTGTGAAAAAAAGAGTTATTCCCATCTCTCCTCATAGCAGTCCAGAAAACTGGTGAGAGTAGCAGATTGTAGCACAGCCTTACTGTATCAGCTGAGCCATCAAAGATGATTGATCCCCGTCATGGTGCAATGAGCAGATATATTGGGGAGAGAGTAAACTGGGGAAGACTTAAATGGAAGAATATTAACACTAACATTACTGACCTGAGATAATTAATCTGACTTTTATGTTCCTCTTTTTTGCCGTCTATGTGCAACATTAGTGATGGCCAACTACCATACAACAAACTTCTGCTCCAACAAAAAGAGCCACACACAAAACCTAAGATAAACCAACAAACCAACAAAACCATAAGGCAAACACGAGCATAGCAACCCACATGCTCTAGAAATAAATCCAAGTCAACTGCATAAACAGCATTACAGTGAGCAGCAGATTCCTTCATCACAACAATATGTACACCTGACGATGACCAGTTAGGCTGAAACATGTAGTGGTCACAAAAAAGAGAAAACAGTGAGAGAATATTAACCAATGTTGTACACAAATGGAAAAAAAGTGGAACACAAAGTCAGATCTATGCAGCGCAACAGGATGCTGCAATTTATTATTATTAGATAATTAAAAGTGAATAGCGAAACCCTTAAACTGACAAACATTAAATGGGGGTTCCATTGCAATTGGAGCAACAGGTACAGAAAATTTATAAAAGAGTCCGGTAAAAGGCAACCTGCATCCATGCTAACAGAGAAATATTATAATACTCAAAAGGAGTGATAGTTCCTGTTACATAGCTCCAAGAATCTGTTAGAAAAATAATATGTCCCCCTCCATCCCCACTCTTAGTGCTAAAATTAGGGGAGAAAATGGGGGGACATTATGGGAGTACATACGGTGTGTAGAGTTGATACTAATGTCATATCTACAGCAGTTCACCCACCAAACAGACAGGCACCACCATACAGAACACTACTGAGATGCCCTCATAGTATTCATGTGATGTTCTGACAAATAATGAACTTACAACAATAAATTCATGACTATGGATAATGTAACTATTTCTGCTCCAGACTGTCATGATTGTTCTGAAATCTTGTTACTAACATCGTACACAACCAGCAGGATTTGAAATTCTCACAGCAGTTCTGTCTTGTGGGATATAATACTATAGTCCATTGGAAGTCGCCAGGATCTTCAGGGGAACATGTCGCCTCCATCTTTGGAGACTGGGTCTATTTCTGTCTTCAGGTACACAGTATATGAAACAAAAGCTAGTCTCTTGCATCTCACAGTGGAGCTATGCTCAAACCTCGGTCTGTAACTCCACTGAGGAGACTTTTTGGAGGAGGTTCAGTTCTGTATAGTTTTCGACTGATGACAGAAATGCAACTAATTACTGGAACGCAAAGGTTTTAATAATTTTGGACAATGGACAAAGTCCCAAACAATAATTCTAAGCAACACATTATATGTTGGCAACATATCATCTTGACAAACTGTATTTTGTGTTCTGCCATTGGGCCATGTGAACATAATCTGATATGAAGGCTTCCATCATCTGCTTGCTACCTTCTTCATGCTGGTTCCTTGCTTGGCTTATTCTTCAAGACTCAGAATGAAGGCGACATGTTCCTTCAAAATGTCAGTTGACTTTCAACAGACTATATGGCATGATATCCCAGAATAGGGAACTCTTCATAACCACTGCTGTGAGAACCTCAGATCTTACAACACAGCTCTACTTGCTGCCTTCTTCATGATGGTTTCTTGATCACCTTATTCTCAACCCTGAAGAGGGAGATGACATGTTCCTCCAGAACATCAGTTGACTTTCGCAGACTACACAGTGTTATATCCTGAAAGACAGAACTCTTCACTGTGTCCAACAGACTAGCAACGGACATGAAAATTATAAAGAGGAATTAAAAATACCTTTCCTCCTTCCTTGTACTTAATTGGAACTCCACCCTCATGGACAAGTGTACCATATCCTGTTGGTGTATAGAATGCAGGGATTCCAGCTCCACCCGCACGAATTCTCTCTGCCAGTGTTCCCTTTAAAGAGAGAATCACGTACATTATCGGTCACGAGTTCAAACAAAAAACTGTAACTACAAATGATCCAACATTTTGAGTGATATTTAGTTATGTATGCAACAGTGAGATATTGCTACATTCAAATTTCTATAGTACATCATTTAATATGCATACTGGTACTTGCAAACAAAATACTGTCATGTATTAGTGACTAGGTGCTGTGTTTGGATTGATAATTGGATTCTTTGGACTTTATAACTCATGACTACAAATGATCGTGAAAGTCTTGCTAATTTACACACACTATAAATCACTACACCCACAGCACGCACATAGTTTTCCATTTGCTATTCTGTCATCCCTAGTCATTGCTTGGTAATGACTGCCAACAATGGAGATTCCTTATGATCCACTGAAATGCCACAGTTCACTTGCAACTCACAACTACTATCTGATCTGCAAGAAAAGCAGGAACTGGGGGCAGTCAGCAACCAGGAAATGCAGGCTTGTCCAAGCAGGAAGAAACCCCCATCAGTACCTTTAAGAGGACAAGGTCAGAGGACAGTACCCCTACAGAAATTGCCAGAACTCCGAAAAGGCCCAGGTACTTACAAGGAGGCTCTGACCAACATAAAGGTAGCTATCTTCAAGGAAACTTATCCTGAGGATAAGCTTACCGAAGATGACCAGAATTCCATTCTGGAAACACTGGGGGAGGTGTTACGTAGGACTCCAAAGGGAGAACTACCACACCCGAAATCCTACAGACTAGTGGGAGGTGCACTTATTTATGCATGCGCTGACCAACAATCTGGTCAATGGCTCACCAAAGCCATTGACAACCACAGGCTGGAATCAGGGGCCAGGCTGAAAGCTACTGATGCCAGGAATCTGGCCAAATCTGTTAAAGTGGCTCTCCGGATTAGAGACAAAGTTGCCCAGAATCAGGAAGAGCTGCTGAAATGGATTGCAGACCTCAATCCAGGACTTGATATGGAGAACTGGAGGGTACTAGATAAGCAATCTGAGTTGAAAGGCCAGAGGCCTATCTTAGTCATAGACCAGGACTCTTATACTATTATACAGAGGACCGGTTATAAAATATTCAAAGGACTCTCACAGGGGACTGTTAAGGTGCTGAATGATCCTGAAGATCAGTGCCGGGCAGAACCTGTGTCAGATACAGTATCATCCAACTTGGTCTCTGAGGGAGGGGGGGATGATGTACCCACTCTCTCAGTTGACTGGAAGAGAATATCTGATGAGAAGGAAACAATCCCTCCTCTCGTCAACCCAACCTTACCAGATCAGAGACCTCCCTCAGAGGAAACCATGTCTGATAAAGGAAAAACGGCTGTGGAAGAGATCATTTAGGAGGACACCTTTCCCAGCATTACAGAATGAACACACAACATACATACATACATACACACATGACATTTACACATAAAATACGATTCATTCAAATTAATCTACACCACAGCAAGGCTCCTACAACTTGCTGAAGGAAAAGTAGATGTAGCACTTATTCAGGAACCTTGGATATATAGGGGCCAAATAAGAGGCTTAACGAATTCAGGGGAAACAGGCTACTCTGTGGTACCTGGAGAAAATGTGAGATCATGCATATATGTTAATAATCATATTAATGCTTTAACCTTGCTGGAGTTCTGTTCCAGAGACACAACAATGGTGAGGATGACATACACATTGGGCGGAGACTGTGAGGAGCTCATCGTCACTTCAGCTTACCTTCCATATGACTAGCATGAACCACCACCTTCCAAAGAAGTGAGGGACATCGTTGAATATTGCCATCTTAGGAAAAAGCAGCTCATCATTGGGTATGATGCCAACGCGCACCACACATTGTGGGGGAGCACTGACATCAAGCCAAGAGGAGAATGCCTCATGGAGTATTTGGTGAGTTTGAACCTTAATATTCTAAACCAAGGTAATGAGCCTACCTTTGTGGTCTGCAACAAGCAGGAGGTTATTGACTTGACAAAAGGGACCAATAAAATAGGAAACCTGATCAGTAATTGGCATGTATCTGATGAGCCGTCCCTATCGGATCACAGATCAAGCTACTAATAGGAATCCTAAGAGAACCAATTGGGAGTCTTACAAAGACAACCTAAAGATAAATCTGGAGGCCATCTCACGAAATATACACACAATAAAGGATGCTGATTGGTCCGTTGACCAGTTGCAATGGGCTATTATCTCGTCCTTTAATAGGAATTGTCCAGTTAGGACCCCTCGCGAACCAAGGAGAGTGCCTTGGTGGAATAAACAGCTGAGTGGGCTTAGAACCAAAACGAGAAGGCTGTTTAATACAACTAAAAGAACAGGGCAGTGGGACACCTACAAGGAAGCCCTTACTTGTTACAACAAAGAAATAAGGAAAGCCAAGCGATCCTCATGGAGGAGGCACTGCCAGGAGATGAATGATGTACCAGGCAGTGACAGACTCATGAGAATCATGGCAAAACAGGCGACCAACAAGGTTAGGATGATTAAGCTGCCTAACGGGCAGTACACTGAAACAGAAGGGGAGACACTGAATGAATTATTCAGGGTTCACTTTCCTGATTCAAAATTGATTGATAATTTGGACATTGGACAGGGTCAGCAAAACCTGGGCACTTGCCAAAGCAAGACGAACAGGGTAGACTGGAACCTGGTCAAGGTCATAATTAATCAATCAAAAATCAGACGGGCACTGAATAACTTTAGACCATATAAGTCAGCGGGAACAGCTGGAACTGTACCCACACTTTTGCAGCAAGGGGAAGAACTTTTAGTTCCACACCTTTGCTAGATTACACCGAGGCTAAGGCTTATCGTCCTATCAGTCTGTCGTCTTTCCTTTTGAAAACGATGAAGAAAATAGTGGATAGGCATATCAGGGATGGAGTGTTGAGGATATCCTCTACACTGAAACCAGCATGCCTATCAAACAGGTAAATCTATTGAAAGTGCACTATATAATGTGGTAACACGCATAGAAAGTGTGATGGAACACAAGGATATTGCCTTAGGAGCATTCCTTGATACAGAGGGAGCTTTCAATAGAACCTCATTTGATATAATCAAACAGGCCGCTGGAAAGCATGGCATAGAGCCCACAATATGCAGGTGGATCAGTGCTATGCTGGAAAGCAGAACCATAGCTGCCACACTATCAGGAGAGATCCTGGGGCTGTCCGCATCTAGGGGGTGTCTGCAGGGGGCGTGCTCTCACCTCTGCTGTGGAGCCTGGTCTTTGACGATCTCCTGTGGGGACTTAATGACAATGGGCATTATACAGTAGGATTTACTGATGACATAGCAATCCTCATAAACAGAAAATTCCTTTCGACAGTATCAGAGCATCTTCAAAGAGCTCTGTACATAGTCCAATGATTTTGTGAAAGAGCAAGCCTTTCCATCAATCCGAATAAGATGGTAATTATACCGTTTACCAGGAAGAGAAATATAAAGGGCCTTAAGGAACCAACCCTCTTCAATAAGATGATCCAGCTCTCCAGTGATGTCAAGTACCTTGGTCTAGTATTAGACAAGGGACTGACAAGGAAAAAGCAGCTGCACAAGGTCATCAATAAAGCCCATAAGGCTCTTTGGACATGCAGAAGCATGTTTGGTAAAACTTGGGGACTGCAGCCGCACATTGTGCATTGGGATATACACTGCAGTTGTAAGATCCATAATTACGTAGCATGTCCACAAAGTAAGTTTCCCACTTGTCCCACAGCTAGCAAACCCTATATTGCGTGAAGTGACTGCGCATACGTGATAGAGCAATGACGTAGCATGGCGCATGCATTAACGGAATTTCCCGCATTCCCATAGTAGCATCATTGCAGCTGTTGAAGATGGAGGCTCTTATTCCAGCTCCCGCCGACTGTGAAGTGCAGTCAGTGATAAAGTTTTTGAATGCACAGAGCATAGTGCCGATCGAAATTCATCGTCAGCTGTGCCGGGTCTATAGGCCTAACGTCATAAGCAAGCAGATGGTGCGTCACTGGTTCAGACAATTTTCAGCAGGTTGACAAAGTGTGCATGATGAGAAGCGCAGTGGGTGGCCATCCATCATTACAGACGACCTGGTGGAACTTGTGCGGGAACGCATTATGGAGAATCGTCGCGTCACAATTGCAGAACTCAGCAGTCATGTCCCGCAGATTTCCAGCTCCTTGTTGCACGAAATTGTCATGGAGCATCTGTTGTTCAGGAAATTGTGCACCAGGTGGGTGCCGAAGCAACTGACACCAGAACACAAAACAAAGTGCATGGAGTCAGCATTGACCTTTCTGCAGCGGTACCATGAAGACGGCGACGAGTTTCTGGACCGGATCATCACAGGTGATGAAACGTGGATTGCACACATTACCCCAGAAACCAAGCAGCAGTCAATGCATTGGCATCACAGTGGATCTCCCTGTAAGATGAAATTCAAGCAGACGTTGTCGGCATGGAAAGTGGTGTGCACGGTATTCTGGGACAGACGGGGCGATCTTCACGCCGACTTCCTGACCAAAGGTGAGACGGTGAATGCTGAGCGTTACTGTGAAACACTGCAGAAATTGCGACGGACCATTCAGAACAAGTGGCGTGGGATGCTTAGTGCCGGTATTGTCTTCCTGCACGATAACGCTAGGCCGCACACGGCTCAACGGACAGCAAGTCTCCTGCAGGAATTCAGCTGGGAGGTGTTTAATCATCCACCCTACTGCCCGGACCTCACTTCCAGTGATTTCCATCTTTTCCTATACCTCAAGAAATTCCTGTCCGGTGAGCGTCAGCGTTTTGAGAATGACAGAGGCGGAGATGGTTGTCACACAGTGGTTCCAATCCCAGGCGGCAGACTTCTACGATACAGGTATCCAAAAGTTGGTCCCATGGTATGACAAATGTCTCAGTTCCGGTGGCAATTATGTTGAAAAATAGCTGAACACTTGCTGTATCTGTTGCAATAAATATTTCCGTGAAATTGTGTTTTATTCCTGAACCAGCCTGTGGCATCTCTATAGGAGTTGCCAAACAGGCAATGAGGGACTGGACAAATATGAAACACAAGAAATACTGGGGATCCTTGACTGGACTCAGGCAAGCAAAGGGACTCATACGTGGACCCTCAGCTAAAAGAGTGAAGGATCTGTTGAAGTTAAACAGGAACCAGCTATGATGGGTGGTAGGATTACTTACAGGACACTGTCACCTTAAAGGACACCTCTTCAAACTGGGACTAAGTAACAGTCCAACTTGCGAGAGGTGTCAAGAAGAAAATGAAAGAGCCGCACATATCCTGTGTGAATGTGAGGCCTTAATTTATTTAAGATTACATCACTTGGGTCAATATTTTATGGAACCAAGTGACTATTTTGACATCTCCACGTACAAAATCCTGTGCTTCGGAAGAAGGGCAGGATTGCTGAGGGGATAATCAGAAGGGGATGCACAATAGATCACTGTGGTTGCAGTGCAAGGGCCAAGAAGGCCCACCCCTTATACATTCACTCATTCATTCATTCATCTGATTTCTAACTTTCATGTCGATGTACAGCCTTGGCACAGACCACATAGAAAACACCTCTTTCAACAGTTTCTCTATTGTTTTGTGCCGATTCATTGCTGTGGAAACACGTTTACTGTGATGTTGCCTAGCAATGGCCGCCTATTCTTGTTTCACTATTCTAGCTTCCAGCTGTCATGTTACAATATACTATACACAACACACAATATATCCAAAAGTAATATGTACCCATATGAAAACTAACCTAACTAAAAAATCATACGAATGGAGACATTTGGCTCTGCATGGATACAACAGACATAACAGGTGGGCCTCAGTCTCGGTGGTTCTGGCTCTACCACTGTGGTCAGGGCTTTTTGAATGTCCCTAACAAGATCAGGGTGCACAATGGGCCCACCAGTAGTCTGAGTGCTAAAGGCCACTGAAACAGTTGGCTCCCTTAAGTCAGTACCAATACCAATGAAAATCATAGGGCCAATATACAGTGATGCATATGAACATTGCTGGGCAATGGCTCAGTAAAAACATTCCTGAAGTTATACTCTCAACAATAGGACATCCAATGCTAAGTAACGGAGCAACAAACATGCATTCTTGATAACAGAACACAGGAAGTCGGCTAATGTTGTGTTGTGACCTCCCCTATTCGAGATGGCTCCGATCTAACAGCCGGGGTTTGACCCCTGGGCTGTTGAGGGCGAGATGGACCCCTTCCAGCAAGCCCCAGCATGTTCCGCACAAGGGCGAGACGAAAATCTCTGTGCATCCAATTCGCGCCACAGGATTTCAACAGGATGTGGCTGTTCAGAATCATCAGATCCAGGAGATGGAAAAATAGTTTATTTGTCCATTTCCAGGTTCGACGACAGATGCCATAACTGTTTGCCATCCTGTCTGCCTTGTCCACATAACCCATGTGCTTGTTGTAGTCAGCAACAGCTGGCTTTATGGCATTTCCATGCTCATCACAGAAACTGCCTTCTGCTGGAGGAGAGTGCATATTTGTCAGCATGTAAGCGTCACGTTTGTCCTTCCAAACTAGCGCTGTCATGTTCTGTCTCACCCTAACACGAATGTCCCCTTTCCTAAGTCGAAACTGTCTTCGTCGAAAATCGTCAGGCAAGCCCTTCCGATTAGGTCTGACTGTCCCACAGCACGTTATGTTCTTTGTCATCAGTTCGTCAAACAAGTGGGGTGAAGAAAAGAAATTGTCCATGTACAGTTTGTGACCTACGCCCTCAATACGCGTAGGCTACGCGTAGTATGAGTGTCTTCTCTTCCTACTGTGACTGACTTGGTTCTGATTTATATATGGGTCACTTCTTCAGCTTCCATTGTCCTCTGGTTAACATTCCATAGCTGAACACTGAACTACTGAACTGCCTTCTAAATTCTCTCATGACTGACTAATAATCAAATCAATTATATGTCCCCTTTTTGTAACTCAGTGTGAACCAAATAGGGATCACCACCTCAGACAGTTTGTCTACCATTTGGTGTTTATCTGTTCCTACAAAAAGTGTGTCAATTGGAAATTCTTAAATCCTTTTATACAAGCTGGCCAGATTAAGTGAAACCATATGTGGCCACCACTGACAAGTTACACATTTGATCGCAAAACAATGACAAACTCTGGCACTCACCTGTGGTGTTAACTCAAGCTCCAGCTGTCCAGATAGATACTGATGTTCAAACTCTGCGTTCTCACCAACATATGAGGCTACAACCCGTTTCAAACGGTGCTGTTTCAGAAGTAGTCCCAAACCAAAATCGTCCACGCCAGCATTATTGCTGACAACTGTTAATTCTTTTATGCCTGATCTTAAGATTTCTGCTATAAGATTTTCGGGAATTCCACATAATCCAAAGCCTAAAAATAAATTGAACCTTACATCAATAATTTAAATATGAAAATGTACTTTGCAGCGAATAGTGAAATGACTCTCATACAAACTGAACTACTACTCTGCTTTAGAAAGGTTCAGAATGTAATGCCAAAAAGCAGTGTATTAGATAACCGTCCAGGAAACTTATCTCGAAATTACTGCCATTGTATTCAGATTATCAAAGGAATTTCATGGGGAGTCAGCATCCTGCTAATTATATCTCACAGGGATACAATGTTTACATGATATTTATTTATTTATTCATGGTTCATTTTATGACACTGTCAGCCCAGACTAAACAGTGTAGAATGGTTAAGTTGGAAACAACATGGAAGTGAGTATTAGCAGTAATAGTAATAGTATAGTAAAGTATTTGGAGGTACTGAGGAAAATCACAAAAACTCTCCATCTGAATAGCCAGCCTCTGGACAAAGATTTGAATTTGGGACCTCCTAAATATGTACAAGTGTTAACCACTCAACCAAAATATTTGGTTTTAAGTGGTGTGCTAATTTCACAGCAAGTAAGGTAAAGGTAAAGTTGCCCTTGCATTTAATTAATTATGCAAATATGAGGGAGTGGAGGAATAGCTCCACCACTCTTGACCTTGGCAGATGATACAGATGAGTGGTCAGCTTCATGCTCCAGCCATTTTTACCCTTTGGAAAAAAGTTGCTGGTACCCATTGGATAGGAGGCTGGGTGGGCCCTAGAGCCAATCCAGACACTGTGGATAATAGAAAAATCTCTTACCCCTCCCGGTTGTCCAGCCCATAGCCCACCGCTAATTTCGTAGAAAGTCCTCAGAATTACCAGGTTTCAGACTTTTTATATTTTCCAGCATTCCAGAAGCTAGAAAACACAATATTTTGGAAACAGCTCCAGTTTCCGAAATGTTGTGTTTTCTAGCTTCCAGAATACCGCATGATGGACAAAGTCTGAAAGCCCAGTAATTCTGAGTATTATACACCATCATCAGAATCCTTTAGAATCTACTTCATATCAAGTATTAATGAAACATGTTATTTGTAACTGCTTCGAGAGTTAAAAGAGTGGTGAGGGGAAAAGCATACGAGTGTTTTATTTAACAGAACCTCAAATTAGTCCATTTTTTAGTATAAATATAGGAAGGCCATTTGGTGGCTGTGTTGAGGCATGCACCTTTTGCTGTGTGTGATCACTACATCAGTAGAACGTTTCCTGTTGGTCAGCTGTGGGGATAGTGTGACTGCAGCAACACTGTGGAGAAGGGCACTGATCTACCTGAAGTACATGCCTTCATGGTGATAAAAATCTTATCAGTAACTATTGACCCATATCATTATTCACTTATTTCTCTAAGATATTTGAAAGAGTGCTGTTTGCAAGACTTTGTCATCATCTGACTAACAATAACGCGTTGGCGAGCGAACAGTTTGGATTTCGACCTGATTCTTCCACTGAAAAGGCTATCAATAGACTGCTTGACCAGATTTTAACTGCCCTAAATGTTGGTCAAAATGTGGGCGTAATATTTTGCGACTTGAAAAAAGCATTTGATTGTGTGAATCACAAGATCTTATTGTCTAAATTGGAATTTTATGGCATTACGGGACCGATGCATAAAATAATAGCATCATATCTTAGAGGAAGATTTCAAAGAATAAGACTACAAGCTAAAGACTATAATTTGAATATTCGTTCTAGTTGGGGTGTAATCTCACATGGTGTCCCACAGGGATCAATTTTGGGACCCCTTTTGTTTTTGATTTATATTAATGATTTACCCTTAGTATTAAATAGGATTTCTTCTCCTATTCTTTATGCAGATGATACTAGCGTAATTATATGTAATCCGGATCCTCTAAATTTTCTTCACAATGTGACTGAAGTTTTCAATAAATTAAATTCATGGTTCAATGCCAATTTATTATCTTTTAATTTTTCTAAAACCGAATTCATTAAGTTCAAAACAAAGAATATATACGAGCACGCTACTAAGATAGTATATGATGATATGGAAATTTCTAATTCATCCCATATAAAGTTTTTGGGAGTTAACATTGTAAACACATTATCTTGGAAAACTCATATTGACTTACTCATCCCAAAACTTAGCTCTGCATGTTATGCAATCAGAGCTATTAAACCATATGTAAATCAGGAAACCTTGTTGATGGTTTACTATGCTTATTTTCATTCACTTATTCACTATGGTGTCATTTTTTGGGGTAATTCTTCATATGCCATAAATATTTTTCGTTTACAAAAGAGGGTAGTTAGAATAATAACTGGTGCTAGTAATAGAAGCTCGTGTAGACAGATATTTACCACTTTAAAAATTCTTCCTCTATCATCCTTATACATTTATTCACTTTTATGCTTTGTGGTACTTAACATGGATCAATATCAATTTGTATCTGATGTACATAACAGAGACACTAGACAGGGTTTTAACCTTAATCTTTATCGACCTTCAACTCATTTAGCATTATACCAGAGAGGCTCGTATTATATGGGCATTAAATTATTCAATAGTCTTCCATTAAACCTGAAACAATTATACAGAGATGTCAAACAATTTAAATTAAAGATAAAGGAATTTTTGTATAATCACTCATTTTATACCTTGGAAGAGTATTTTGTGTATTTTAATTGAAGGGTAATTTTGACACTGATTATACTCATGAGTTTTAGTTGCATTATTTATTTATATTTGTACTTTGACTTAGTACTTTTGTGCTGTTTATTTATTTAATTATTTGTACTCTATTTATTATACTTTGGAAGAGAATTCTGAGTATCTTTAAGATGTAGTATTAATCTGATATGGTCATATTCATATA